TCTTAATTCACCAGAAAAGTCGAATTAACCAAATGGCTTCAAACACTTGTTGTTTTGTATAGATTTGACCGCATAATAGAGTGGAAAGTGCTAGCCATGAGTTAGAAGAACTAAGCTCTAGGTGTTGGAAAAGCCATTTCATCTCATCTTAGTCTCAGTGCCCTTATCTATAAAACAAATTATAAAAGGTCAGAAGAATGCTAAAGTTCCTTCTTTGTTGACTATACCACGAAACTATGGCTCAAATACACCCTACTTATTGAAACCCTTTTCAGAGCTCAACTCTTTAGCAATAAATGCTTACCTTCTCAAACATGGGTTTGCTGTAATTTTCGTTGAGATCTTCCCAAGGGCCCAGCGTATGTGTACTGGGGCCTTGGCATTCACACAGCATGATGTCATTCGGTCTTGCCTTACTTGTCCTGACCCTTCTGACAATTCCTAACAAAGCGTGTGCTCATTATGTTACCCGTGCATTATGTCCTTTCATAGCATTAGTGACATTATATTGGGTTGGCAGCTTCATTTGGAGAGACACTTGCGCCCCGAGCCAAGCAACACAGATAGCCAAGAATTAGATCATTCTATCCCCAAACTGCCACAGACCTTCTCAGATACAGCTGAGCAATGTAATTTGATCAAGGTTAAGTACAACCCACCCTTCATCTTTTAACCCAAGTCAAAACTCTTTTAGCTTTCTGTTCAAATCCCAGAGTAATGCTTCCTGCTCATTGTTACAAGCTGCCCTCCAGTCAACTCTCATTTATCGGCCTGTGGCTTATCCAAAGCACCAGGCTTTCTCCTCCTCCTGCCTCCAGCACCAGGTTCCAGGCCGGCTCCTTTAACTCTGTGCCAAATGAATACAAACTAAATCTAATATTAGCCTAATGAGAAAAGGCCATCTGCTGCCAAAGATTTGCATGATGCATCCCAAAGCCAAACACGGGCCATTATTCACTGTTTCAGATGCTGGCATGGCTTCTCCATTATATAATACAGCAATCACGATTTTCCGTGTTTCTCTTCGAGTTAGAAAGGCGACACGCAGCGTTCTAACCTGTTCTTTGCCTAGTAGGCCAGATTCTCAGGAGAACAGCTTACATTTTCTTTTCAAATAAATAAATCATTTGTACATTTAATGTTAAGGGGATGAGAAATGCCTGGATTTGGAGTCATGAGACTTAGATTCTGATCTGAAATTCATCTTCCTCTAGTTGTTAGTGAGAAACTAAGCAAGGCATCTAAATTCCTTATTTTCTCAGCAATAAAACTGGGATACAAATTTTATAAACAAAAGGTAGGGGGCAATTTCACATATACAAGGGACATGCAAAAGCCACCCTCAAAAAGCCAGGGAGACTCTTGACTGTCGTTCTGACTCACCACTTTACAGGCTCTGGCAAATTGCTCGCAAGGGGAAAAAAAAAGGGTGTAACCTTATGAAACTTGTATTTTACAGATAAAAACATAGAAAGGGTAAGTTTCCTTGTGAGAACAAAGAAAATCAAATCTAGAAGTCTAGATTTTCTAACTTCCCAAGACTGTCTTTAGGCCACGTATAAGGACAGATCCCAGCATTCCAAGCTGAGGAACCACCAGGGTACTTCCTGCTGATAGTCACCTTCCAAATTGCTGTGGAAACTCAAATTCCAGCCTTTAGAGCATTTAGAAATATCACTTTCAAAGCAGACTCTTACTTTGACATTTTTCTTATGCCTGAGGCACATGTCTTCCAAGGACCAAGGACAAGGGTCAGGGAGAATGTTAACACCACACCATTTTCCTTTTTTCATCTTGCTCCCGTACCAGAGACCATCAATGGCTTCCCACAGGTCAGAACAGCGCCGTCCAGAACTTTCTGTGATGTTCCCTGTCTATGCTATCCAAAACAGTAGCCCTAGACACACGTGGCAACTGACCACTTGAAATTTGGGTAGGATGACCAAGGAAATTCACTTTTTCATTTTATTCTATTTTAATACAATTAACTAGCCACACGTGGCTAGTGACTTCCATATTGGACAGTGCCCTGTTTTGGTAGAAAATAAAACCATGTTCCTCATTCTAGCATTCACATCCCATACAACTTGGCTCCAACATACTGTTCCATCCTGTTTCTACAACAGGAACCTTGACTGCTGAGCACAACTGAGGATGTCTGCTGCCACACCCCAGCTCAAGGTACTCAGACTTCATTGCTAAGGGCACCTTCCATTCCTGTTGCTGTGTATTTGAACTGTATCCATATTTCACAACACAGGTCAAGTTCTACCTTTACTGCAAGCCCCATCCCTACTTCCTCTGTGAGGAAAGGGCTCATTAACCTCAGGCCTGGGCCAATCCAAGAAGGACCTCAGTCTATCACAGGGCTATTTCTTTGGAACTACATCTGGTCTTTTGGGAGCTGTGAGTTGCCTTCAGGCCTCCATGACTGGAAAGATAAATAGAGATTGATGGAAAACAGAGGCTGTGCCTTCTCTGTGTCAAGGAGACTCATTCCTACTTTGGCTCTCATCTGGGGTAGTTGTACATGCCCCTGGGTGGGTGGGTGGTGTGGGAAGCTGTACCTTCATAACTTCTGTGCCTCCCAATTAGATGAACCTGCTATACCTCCTATCCCTCTTGCCTTGTACCCACCTGTAAGCTAAGTTAACACAGTTTTGCATCTAGAACTTGTGGAATGGCGCAAACGCTCTCTGGATTCCCAAGTGTTCATAGGCATTTAGGACTTATATTGGTAAATAACCTTTGCATATCAGCATTTCAATTGGATCAATTTTTTCCCCCCAACTAGATTGAAAGGCTTAAAAGTGAGCTTGGTTATCCATTGCTTTGCCTTTGGTCTATGAGAGCTGAAGGCAGCTGGTGGCACAGACAACCTCCTTCCAGAATTAGGATTCTAGCCTTTTGAGGAACTGGGGCCAAAGCCACATTCTAAGAGAGAGACAAAAAGGGTGAGTCTTCCCAGAATGGATATACAAGGTGGGGCAAAAGAAGGTTTACAGTTGTGAGTACACAAAACACAGAATTTATTCTTGTATTATTACTTATTAATTATTATATTATTTTCCATATGAAAAACTGTTAACCTCTTTTTGTTCCACCCTGTAGATATAGAGGGATACATTTTTAAGTGCTGAAAGTAATACAAGTTTCAAGATCAAGATGCTAGATTAAGCTCAAGCTACAAACCCTCCCTGAGGCTCTCAAAACTTAAAAGATACTAACAAAATATTTTTTAATGTATATAATACCACGCTTAAAATCAAGGAAGAGAAATCTCTAGACACCAGGAAAGCACAGCAGCGAGAAGGCACAAAGCTCACTGTGCCGGTTGGAACAGTTGACATGCTAAGGACTGATTGGTTTCAAAGCCCAACATGGCTAGACTCGGTGTCAGAGCCCACAGGCATGGTAGGGAGTGGGGACCAAGTTCCCAGTGTGAAGCCTGCAAATGGGAAAGTGCAAAGGAAGGAACCTGATTTGCATAGTCAGTCAGTAGCCAAGAGACAGAATGTCAAATTGAAACATAATGTAACACCTGGTCAAAGATGTTCCATCCCAAAAGATTCAGGAAGAGACAGGCATAAAACGCCTCATCAGTGCTCGCTTCAGCAGCACAAATACCAAAAGACACCTAATCAAATGGCTTTCACCACCATTCAGAGTCCCCAAGATAACTTTCTCCCTTGGCCAATAACGTACCAGCAAGAATATGAAGCCATGGGAGGAAATACAGCACTGTAAAAGGCAGAATATGACCCACCAAACAGGAAAAGCCATAGTTGAGCTACTAAGTTAATAGGGCAATCTGTAAAAGACTTAAAATAAATACCATTCTTAAAATAATGCATTTTTAAGGGGGAAAAAACTCAAAGAAAACGTTTTCTCCGTAATCTCAATTCCAGATATAAACTGCTGCTCAAATTGTGGAGTAAACTCTTCCAGACTCAGTGATGCCCTTATGCAGTGAAAGGCATTTTTACATCAACAGGAACATGCTATACGTGCTGTGCAGTAACCTGCCCTTCTCATCCCTTCCCCACTTTAAAATATTACCACACTCATGTTCCCACATAAAGACTGCTAGAGACTGAATGTCTACATTCCCCTAAAATGCATGTTGAAACCTAACTGCCAATGTGATGGTATTAGGAGGTGGGGCCTTTGGTAAGTGCTTAGATAACAAGGGTGGGGCCCCCATGAATGGGATTTGTGCCTTTACTAAAGAGACCCCAGGCAGCTCCATGTCCCTTTCCACCATGTGAGGACACAATAAGATGACAGCTATCTATTAACCAGGAAGTGGGCCCTCACCAGACACTGAAACAGGTGGCACCTTGATCTTAAACTTTCCTGTCTCCAAAACTGTGAGAAATAAATTTTAATTGTTTACAAGCCATCCAGTCAAAGTGTTTTGTTACAGAAGTACAAGTGGACTAAGCTAAATCCGCATAGGTCTCCCTCACCCCTATCAAGTAAAAATTATTTTCCAATGTCAGTTATTAACAGTGCTTGTCAGCAAAAATCCCTCAATACTCATGCAGCCAACTAGGCCTTTTACAAAATACTTTCAGACACACTGTATTATTTCATCTGCTCAACCCGATGAGGGAGGCAGCTTTTATGATACACTCTCTATAGATAAAGACTCTGAGGCTTGAAAAGTCACACGACTTGCCCAACATCATAAAATGATAAATCTGAGCCTGGCAAACAAATCTTTCAACTTTAAGTTCAAGGTGGTCTTCACTATAGCCCATTCTCTACCATACTCAGAATCTCATGCTATGAGATTGACCACAAATGTGTTTTGATTTCACCCCAATGGGGAAGCAGTCAATATTTTCATTTATGATTATTATAATCCAGAAGCAGTGTTCGTTAAACTGAAGGGACAATTGTGATTAGTGAGAGCACCATCAGTTCTTTGTGGCTTGACCACAGAGCAGCAATGCTGCAGTTTCAGAGTCTCCTTAATGTATCGGGTTATTGCTTACCTTAGCCGTCTCAGCTTCTGCCTGCAGTCGCTTGGGGGTTCCTTTTTGGTCAAGCACCTTCTGGAAATGTTTGTTTTTAATGGGTTGAGACTCAACACCTTCACCTTCAATTTGCAGTTTAATGCCTTCAGTATGAGCAGGATGATCAATACCCCGGGAATTCAAACCGCAGTGGAGAGCTAGGCAAGAGGGAAAAAAAATAACTCAGAAAACAAATCATGTGAAGAAGGTGTCTGGGGCAGAAAATATTTCAGCTGGCCTAAGTGGGAAGAGACAAGGCTTTAGCGAGTTGAGCGGTGGTCTGGTAACTATGGGAAGGAATTTGGGGAGGAAGGAGTGTTGTTGGGTGGGAAACCCTGAAGTCAGAAAGACAAAAGTGCAAATCCAGAAACCATTAGTTCTAAGTTGTTGGACCTTCAGCAAGTTACTGATCATCACACTGCACACCAGAATACCAAATCAGGCAACTTCGTTAGCGAATCCCACACGTTTAATTATTTCAACCCTTGCAAGTTAGCTGATAGCTCTTCCTTTATCTGAAAAAGTGCTCATTCTGCCCCCTTCTGAGTCTTCTCTGTTTCAAGTGTCCATTCAAGCTCACCACCCTCATGCATTCACTCAACAAATATTTATTAAGTAGTTACTACATGTCATCCCATGATTCTGGAAACATGGATACAGGATATATGACGGTTGTTACATCAGATAACTCACAATCTAAGTGAAAAAGCAGGTGAAAGACAGTGACCTAGTGATTTTAAAACCTGACACACTAATTTGAAAAGATGATATCCACCCATATGTTTATTGCAGCATTATTTGTAATAGCCAAGATTTGGAAGTAGCCCAAGTGTCCATCTGTAGATGAGTAGATAAAAAAAAGCTGTGGTTCATTTACACAATAGAATACTAGTCAGCTGTAAGAAAGAAGGAAATCTTACCTTTCTCGACATCATGCATAGTCCTGGAGAGTATTATGCTAAGTGAAATCGGCCAGTCAGAGAAAGACAAGTATTACATGATCTCACTCATATGTGGAATCTGAGGAGCTAAATGACCTAACAAAGTGAAGACAGGCTCATGGATACAGAGAACAGACTGACAGCTGTCAGAGGGGAGAGGTTTAGAGGCTGGGTGAGAAGGGTCAAGGGGTTAATCAAAGGAAAAAAAGCAAAACTCACAGATATAGACAACAGTATGGTGATTGCCAAAGGGAAAGAGGGTAGCAGAGGGTAAAGAGGGGATAAATGGTGATGGAAGGAGATTTGACATAGAGTGGTAAACACACAAATACAATATATAGATGATGTATTATAGAATTGTAACCTGAAACCTATACAATTTTATTAACCAATGTCATCTCAATAAATTCAATAACAATAAATAAATAAATAAATAAATAAATAAATAAAAACAGAGTGATAACTACTACATGGAAGACAAGAAAAGCAGAGTGGAAGGTGCAAGGGAGTCAAGTCTAATGGCTTCTAATTTTACGTATCTTTCCACGTTCTCTGACATCAATATCCCCATAAATCAAATGTAAAGCCCATTTCCTGGGCATACTTAGTCAATAAATTCTTACTGAGCACCTCCTATGTACACACAATTACCAAAGAAATAGCAAGGAATGTTATGGGAGCCATACATTCTACCTAAATGACCCCCATGCATGACCAGGGATGTGGGGTATGTGGGTGTGTATATGCACACACATGGCTTATGTGTATTTTGAGGTTTCTAGTAGTAAGTTATCTCACCTTCCTGCATCCCCAACCTTCAAAATTAGTTAAATTCCCATCCTTAAGCCTTCCCT